GAAACTCAACTCTTCTCGTCTGTGAAATTCCCACTTCGAATTGATTGTGTTACTTACCAAACAGAGTGATGGATGAACCACTTCTTACTTGGGATATCCTCAGAGAGGCAGCACTTTGTAATCAATCCAGCTGCAATATAAACTCCCTTCTTGAGGCTCTGTTGAAAGCCCTCAGTGGGTCCATCCTACTTTCCTTGGGCTACAGTTAACGTTTAAAAAAGGCTGTTCAACAACAAACATCTAACCTCAGAGTAAAATGCATGAGGTGTTTTCTAGTTATTTCCCTATCACTCCCAGAAGCTATGTTTATTTCATTCCAGTAGTACAAGCCAAGCATAAGGCACTAAATTCTAGTTGTATCATCCTAAAATCAGAAAATTAAACACATTGAGAAAAATAGAACAATATACCAGTAAATCAATTTGTTTTATTTGGGAATATTGCAGTTTTAAAGTTATAACTTCCACTATTAAGTTATAACTTTGTATCAGTACATTGCAATGATACATAACAGAATTTTTTTTGTAAATATGAAGTTATAGCACCAATCTTATTTAATGGATCTTGCTCTGTAAAGAGATTTGGATCTTAGAAATGCATGCTGTATACAGCATTTCTTTGGAATCTGTGGAAATAAAAGTTCACAGCTTAGCTTTCTTATATCATTAGCTTTTTCAGTAGTAAAGAATTAAGGAATTAAAAAAACACTAAAACATCAGTCATGCTACAATAACTTCAAGTAACTGTCACGAAGACATACTTTAACATATAAATACCATCTTAATTTACAAAAACATTTATAATTGTTATTATGTTTTACATTGCTTGAACAAAAAAAATCAAAGATAGCACCCATCATTATTATAGTTCTAAATATTTCATGGCACATAGTGCAAATTGTATTGTTCTTCTGATACAGACCTTATAGGTAAACTTTGTATCAAGCACATATGATAAGCCTAAACAGTAACATGTTTGGTATCTTTAAACATGCACCTTTATAAATGGAAAATTGAGGGTTTTCTTAAAATCTGCATATGATCAGTCATCTACTTCTAGTCTTTGGTTATTTAGGTTACATTTCAGAAGCGCTTAAGAGCAGATGCAAATCTAGAATATTCTTGAAATATTTTTGAAAGCCATTTCTGTAACTGGCAATATTATTCAAGACACAGAAGTTGTTTCTATAAGAAGCAGTCTGCCTTTCTTATGATATAAGTTTCATCAACAAAAATCAATTTGTAATCCCTACGCATCAGTGCCATTAATAGATGGCTTACAACAACAACTGTCAAGCGAGCTCACAGAAAATATGATTTTGGTGAAGTGGTATGAGAAATTCAAATATGATTGATGATTTTTCAAATTAACGTAGGCTGGGATACTGCAACTTTGCGGATAAAAATTGTGGCATAAAATATGTTTATCCAAACAAACTGCAGTTGGATTTCGTCTCCGATCTTTCAATTGCCGTTACCGGGGAGGCATGGAAATCTCCTGTAAGGAAATGAGAATCTATCAGCTGCCATATTGATATTTCATAGGAAATGAGTGGTGCATCTCCCTTCTAATATTTCAATGGTAATGAGAAAACAGAAGCAGGACAGGAAATGCAATATGAATATTGTTTCATCAAACTTTGAAAATCTAAACTCCAGTGTTCCTTCAAGTAGCAAGGTTGGTGGAAAAATCCAAGTGTAGTTCAATGAGTTATTTCTCTCGGGTTTTCAGCTTCAACCACAAGTCCTGGTAGCGAGTTCCACATTCTCAGCACCCACTGTGTAAAGAAACTCTTTCTAAACACACTTTTAGATCTGCTGGTAACTATATTTTATTCAAGCTTCTTGACCCACTAACAAATAGAAACAGCCGATGTTTGCCCACCTTATTGTAAGTTTGCAGATGATACAAAGTTGGAGGGAGCTGTGGAAGCACAGGAGGCAGAAAAGGTCTTACAAAGAAGTCTTGATAGGATATGCAGTTGGGCTGATGACTGGCAAATGAAGTTCAACAGAGACAAATACAAAGTATTGCACGTAGGAAGTAAAAATAGGAGGTACACACACTCCAAGAATTAAACAGAACTTGATAGAACTTGGGGAAGCTAAAAGAGACTTAGTTTTTTTAGTTGACTCATGTCACCATGTCAAACCAATGTGAGGCAGAATAAACAAGAAAAAACAGATACTGGGTTCCACTACCAAATCGATTGAGTTCAGAAGCCAAGCCTTAAGCTCAAGCTGAAATGAGTTCTGATCAGGTCTCACCTGGGATCCAACAACAGTAGGGGGAAACCCAGGCCCCAAAGCCAGGGCAGAAGGGAACATTTATCATCCCCAATGTTGGAGGAATGAGCTGTGAGTAATGATTAGAAATATTAGGGCTCTTCAGTCTTTTAAAGGAGATATCTCATAGGAGACTTATTGAAGTATAGACAGTTTTAAATTAGATTAGAAAGTAAACCCAGAACATACTTTGAGATATATCCCCAAAACAGCAGAATAAAAGGGCAAAAAGGAGTTGCAAAGGGCCATTTCAGATCAGAACGAAGAAGTATTTCTTCACCAGGAGGGTAAGTAATAATTAGAACAGTTTTCCAGAAGGGTAGTTTAGGCTGGAGCTATTTAAGAAGCTATTTAATAAACAGTTTGATCCTGTGATAGGAGGATGGCTGGGTGGGTACTTAAAAGGAAGCGATGCAATAAGCTTCTTCACCTGTTTCTGAGTTTGCAGAGAGACCATACAAAGTATGATGATATGGACACATAAGATATGGATTTATCTATGGATGTTGTGTCCAAACTCAACTGGATATACTTCTTCCTCTTTTTCTTCTTCCTTTATAAAGCTGACTGCCATTGTTTGTTCGTACATCATTTAATTCGAAGATATTATTGTCAAGATCATGCCAACTAGCATGAACATCTGAATCAGACAGTGATATAATACACAAATACTTGTAATACTGCATTTTGTTTCGTTCCAGTGTAGGTTTTTCCATTTAGGTCTCATTTGAGCTTTATATATATATACATATATATATATATAGTATTTGATGTTTACTTTGCCAAGTGTTTCCTTCATGTTAACACGTTACATAATGAGTTTTTTTAACATCACTGAATCATAAAATCCTTGCTGTAACATTGTCATTCTCTGTCACATCAAACACATCTGATGCATTTACTGTCTTGCCACAAAAGGGCAGCAAGCCCGCTTGAGACTTCACATACACAAGTGTCTCATGTGTACAGAATGAGCACAGGGCAATATTAGACATTAATGCATCTTAGTTGTTTAAAAGTATGTGTACAAAAATATCAAGTAATAAATATGACTATACATAAATATCTCATAACATAATAAAATATATCTCTTTTATATACACATTTTGCTGACAGAGGTAGAGTTTCCACTCAGGCCAGTGTAAATTAAGATTCTTATACTTTGGTATTCTCTCTGTATCCTCTGCATTTAACTGGAGGAGTTAAATTCTATTTTGACATTTAAATCTCCATGCTTTGGTGTTGCGCAGGCAGTAACTATGAGTATAACAGACGTTATTTCATTCTATCTGGAGACAGAAAGTTTAACTTAACCCTTTTCATGATGTTTTCTGATAACTAAAAAATCTGTAGAGTTTCTGTCTTGTGACAGCAACAAAACAGAATTCTGAATGGTGTATGTTTGGAGGAAAAATAGATTTAAAGAATATGTTTGTTACATTGAAGCCTTTCACCAGTGTTCCAAGCAAAATCAAACATATAAATTTTTAGTTTCCAAAGTACTACATCATTTTAAAAAGTTGTATTCATTCCGAGCATGCTTTAAGGGTTTAAATGTAATGAATGATGAAACTATTTTAAGTGAGATTAGCTTTGGCAGGCTTAATTTTTCTCCAAATCAAAGCGCTTATAAATATTTATTAAGCAAGAGTGCACTGACAAACCAAATTTGTACAGAATGTTAAATATTGAGATTAGCTCTGGTCCACCTGTATCTACTTGGCCACTTATCCCTACTTTTGTTGCTTGGAAATTGATTTATGTCCTTAAAAGATCATCTCTGAACCAGTTTCAACAAATGACCTATTTTGGGTTTATCTTGGCTGCCCGACATATTTATAATGTAACTAGAGAATAATAAATGGCATGGCTCAATCCTTGGCACTGTAGCAGATGCCTAATATCTTGTGTAACACTGCCAGCTGGAGAAAGACATTAGCAACCTGGATTAGTTTCAATAGATGAGTTTGAGTGCTGGCAGGATACATCAGCTACTGCATCACTGAAGCTGATTTCGAGACATTAAGGGAGAAATTCTACCTAGGCCTAGATATACTCTTGTTAATGTAGCATTTTCGAGCATTCGGAATTTGACAAATTGTTGAATTCACTCTTAAGCTCAAAGTTATTATGTTGCTGTTAAAAACAACTTACAGGAAAGGCTGTATTTAAGAATCTCTGAACTATCTAAAATAGAGCAAATCCAGATTTTGGGTGGAATTTCTCCCCATAAATGTTCAACATAGAAAACTATACTTTGGTTAGTATACAGGGGTCCTGCTGCACTGAGATTTAAAATCCTAATGTTAGACATTTTGCCAACAGTGAGTAGTTTTGATTGTTCACACGTGCAGAGCTCTGCTCTTATTATTTTGGAAGCAGGCTGTGTAACTGCAGCTGCCACTACTCACTGCTTAGCACATTTGAAATGGGGAAGATACTTTTGCCACTTTCATAGTTAAATAGCACCAGAAACAGAATGCTTGTGTTAATACTGTATGTAGCTTTACCGAGCTTCATGTAAAGATTATTTTTCATGTCACGTAGATCCAGAAAATGGCAAGAGCTGAGCAGTGAGGAACAAGACACTAATTTAGGGAAAGAATAGCACCATGCAGAAGCATTAAAACATTAGTGAAACACTTTGAACCTTGCCAAGTGAGTCTGCAACAGGGAATATTGAAAACATTTCCCAGAGATGGATGTTATCCCTCAATCTTCTAAATCAAATTAAATAATGCTGACAATCTAACATTCTGTAATGGGATAAATACACACAATGTGCGGAAGCGTGTATATGGACTCCTCCAGAATGTTCATCAGCCTGAGCATATCCTCTGAAAAGCACGACTCCTTTGTTTTCAATAAATGAAAAACTCTATGGGAAACTTATCAGGCAATGAAATTATACTGAGTAACAGCTGCCTTCCATTAATGAACATTAATTCCTGTAGAGTACTGGAATTTGGACTGGTCACAAAAAGCTGCTGCAAGTTGTCACATTTGGCAGGATAGCTTCTTCATTCCTTCATACTTCATGTGATATCTCAGTCTTTACTTGCATCAGAAGACCATTGCTGGTTTGGGGAATACATTTTCCACAGTAGCCTCCACATCTTCCATACACCTTCATGCCGTCCTTTATGAAAGACGTTTACAATATAATCAACAGGGAATAAAATGACATTGTATTAATAATAATCATAATAATCCTTGCATTTGACATAGCGCCTTATCACATCATTGAGATGTCTCAAATCACTTCATTAATTATCTTCTAAATACATTTCATTTATACAGAAAAATACTTCATTATCCATCTCTGCATTGACATTAGCCAATAGTTTGGTAAATACTACTTTTACACAATGAGATGTCTTATGGCTATAATGCACAATTATAATTATAGGTATTCAGGTTGACATTTATTCAAAATATATTTTCATCCATAATTGTACATCAGCACAACATGAAAATGCATAAATATGGTGTCCTTCAAGAAATAAGCAACATATTTAATGTGGATGTAATAACCATTGTCATTTCAGCTGAATTAATAAAAAAAATCTTATATTTGGTATAGTACCTTTAATGTCAAGAGAACGTCTCAAAGCACTTGGCGGGATATATTGTAAAAAGGAGCGACTGTGTCTTTTTTGTGGGTGAATGAAGCTGCAAATGTGTGCACAGCAATGTTCCACAAACAGTCATGAAGTGAATTGTCAATTTTATTGGGGGATTGATGGCTTGGAGTAGTGCTATGGCATCTTTAATGTCCACCAAAACAGGCAAACAGTATCTTGGTTTAATAACGTCTCATCTGAAGGACAGCACACCCGGCATTGCAGTGTACTCCCAGCACTGCATTAGAGTGTCAACCTAGCCTACATTAGTTGTAAGTTCCGACATGGGGCTTCTGACTGAACAACAACAACAAGATTGCATTTGTATAGCACCTTTCACATCAGGAGGACGTCCCGAGGCGCAGGACAATCAGTGTTTGGGACCCAAGCTGAGGGTCGGGAACAGGAAGGGTGGGGGGGAAGGAGGGTGACCAAAGGCATGGTCAAAGCATGGGGGTCTTGAGATAGGTCTTGAAGGAGGCAAGGGAGAGGGTGAGGCAGAAAGACTGTGGGATGGAGTTCCAGAGGGTGGGGCAAGAGATAAGAGAGCTATCAACTAAGCCAGTCTGACATGCAATTCATTCACCTCTGATGTGATTCTTTTACTGAGAATCTCCTGAATAATGACTACAAATCATAATCCCTCCAAAAACAAAAAATAATAAATTGGTGATTTTCAATCCACAACTGTTTGTGGGACACTGCTGTGCGCAATTGGCTGCCTCGTTTTGCCCACAAATATACAGTCAATTCACTTTACAGCATATTCTGTGAAGCGCTTTGGGACGTCTAGAAGATGTGAAAAGCACTACACCAAATGCAAGGATTATTATTATTATTACAATGTTTCAAGACAGTACCTGCATTCTCAGGAGTTCAACCATCATCAACAAAATTAACAGCTAATCAATGAAAAACATACAAAACAAGTATTGGAGATCTCTGGCCTTAGACACACCTACCTGTGATCTGTGTATGCTGACGGTTGCATAGTTTCCCTGTGCAATCCATTTAGTTGCTTGAGATATCTTCAATCCAGTGCCGCTGAGATTAATGCTAAATTGTCCCTGAAAAGTAATTAAATATTAAACATTTGAAATAAACATCAGATAGATGAACTTATTATATAAATTCTTTTTTCTTAAACTGACTGTCCAAACTTATCTTTCTCAAAATATTGTTGCCATAATCAAAGTATGGGAAATCCCAAGCAAGTTTTGCTTATCAGTCAAATTCCATGTCTGTTTCTTTGGTCTATGTTGTCATGCCATTCTATGCAGAGCATCACGTTTCAAGGCAACAAATAAGAAGCAATATTTAGTTTTGTGACCAGATGATAAATCACAATGTCAATGAAATATTAATTTGAAGAGTATGGAGAATTAATTATGTTTGTCTCCTTGATTAATCTATTCGTATGGAGAATGGAAAATTTCTTCGAATAAATCTATGCTAGTTTAAGAATTAAACCAATATTGTTCTGAAATCAGGCCCAAAAGATTTTCAACTTTTTTAAATGTCATATGAAAAATTGCAATGATACATTCAATTACAATATTGAAGTGATTTTTTCCCTGAAAGAATTGTGTCTGTTCAGGTGAACCAGAAGCCTTAATGTATCTGGCAAGATTTGCCAAGAATTAAGAGAAATGGAAGCAAACCCATTTGGGAACCTCACAATGAGAAGGTTTTTTTTTCCCAGAGATTAAGGCACCTGAGTGTGAAATCGGGGTATTTGTGACTGTCTGGGAATTGCTAAATTACCAAGTTTCTCAGGAGTTTCCAGCTGGGATTCCCAGCTTTTGCCCCATTGTGTGACAAACTGAGCATTTGTATTTCACCACTCAGAGAATGAGCCACTTATTTTCACATTTTAAAAAAATACCATTATAGATGCTGAGTTAATAAAGGTGTAATTTGCCATTCTGCACAAATATATTAAACACTTGCCACCATATTACCCCTCCCAGCTATTATAAAAGATAGTTAATTTATTTCACAGGCAAACTATGGAATGAATTACAAAGAGCAGTTAAACTTTTTAAAAATGTATTTTTATGGTTTTTTTTCTTTAAGAGGCTTTTTGCAATTGTACATCTATTGAAAATGTAATACCGTGATAATAAAGACATTTGACTCCAACAATTATTACGCTTTGTTGGTGAAAGTATCATTTAATTATCAGGGACATTTCTTGCTGGAGGCGACTTTTCAGCCGAATGACTTGTCTTCACCTTGGTAACCATTAGGTTACCCTGGAGGGAGAAAACTGATTATCTCAATTCCCTTCCATTCATTGAAGGCTGCCTGGAGGGGGGAAGGGGAGAGAGAGGAGCCTCATTGTTTACTTTTCTAGGTGCAGACCAATTTTGTTGACTGTTCTTTTGTTGTTTATTTCATTCAGTAAGCAGCATTCAGTACCCAGCATACAAAACTTGTAAAACGTGGATCATTTCACACATTATATAGAATTTGTATTTCTTACTTGTGGACACTTGGCAGCACTGTAGCAGTCTCCTGCCACTGCAAATGGCACAGCTCTTCCGTGAATTGTCTGAGCAAATCGCAAGTCTGTAGCTGAAAAATGAGAAAAATATCAAAATCCTCCTCTTCAGTACAGGTATTATTTACCTGACCAAATAGGGCTAGTTGTAGAGGATTAGTTACCAACCTCCCTATCAACCTGCCCGCTCCCTCCGTTCATCAGGTTCTGGTCTGCTCCATGTCTCCCTCCCAACCCGTCCTACCATCGGTGGCCGGGCTTTCAGCCTCTTTGCCCCCACACTCTGGAGCTCCATCCCACGATCCCTTCGCCTCGCTTCCTCCCTTGCCTCTTTCAAGGCCGGTCTCAAAATCCTTCGACTGTGCCTTTGGTTTCCCTTCCACCTCTCTGCCTTCCCTCACCCCTACACCACCCCTCCCCCATGCTCGGGCCCCGACAGCTGACTGTTGAGCACTTTGGGACACCCTCCCGACGTGAAAGGCGCTCTCTAAGTGTAATTTTGTTATTGTTGTTGTAGTTCAGTCAGGAATGGTCTCCAAACCAAACTATTGAGCGTTCCACATATGTGTGGTTTCCATTTGTCTGGTATACAGTGCACACTCTTTCCACAGAGTACTGCACTGTGCTTACCTAATCCTAGAAAATGTAAGTGGCAGGAACCAAGGGTTGGGCATCCCAGTGTGTGTACTTTAGGGTTTTGAGACATCCAACTGAAGTGAAAGGCACAAAATAAATGTGAATTGGATTGCCTTTTAATGAACAAAGCTGTGGTCGGAAAGGAAGGTTTTGAGATGTGCCTTGAGGGAATTTCACATACAATTCTATGTGAACTACTTTTGATGGAAAGGAAATTAAAGATCCAATGGTACTATTCAAAAAGGGAGTTTCTCCTGGTGTCCCTGACCAACATTCCCAAAATAAAAATAGACATTTACTTCACGGCTAATTGTGAGACAATGCTGTGCCCAAATTGGCTGTTGCATTAGCCAACAAATGCACAGCCATCCCAATTTATGGTAAATCTTGTGAAGTGTCTTGAGATGTCTCAAGTTCATAAGGCACTATATCAGCTGCAACGATTATTATTATTAAAGGATTTCAACTGGAAGAAAAACTGGAGAGACAGTGACTTTGTTCTATTGTCAGTATTCTCCTCTCGCTCAAGAGGCTGATATGTAGACGCTTTTATTGAAGCTAACCTAGATCACAATGTAAATCACTAAAATCTCCATGATTAATGTGAAGCCCTCTAATTACAAAATATTTTGTAATAAGTTGTGAACTCTGAAAATGGAGAAAGATATTCACAATAACGTTAATGCAGCTGTCAGGACTTAATGTCTGACAAACATTCTATTAAACAGTATTGGTCTTGGGAGTCGAGAATGGAGGTAGTAATGTAGAACTGGGTGTCACCTGCTTATATGTATCAGTGGACTCTATGCTCATGGATGATATCATCAGAGGAAGCACATAGATCAGAAAAGGGTGAGGACCAAGGATAGAGCCCTGAGAAACTCGATAGGTAGTTAAATTTATATTTTAAACACAAGTAGTTTGATTGTCATGTGATATAATAAAATCTTGAACCTACATTTTATTACACTCTTTTTGTGCTCTTTTAGTTTTGCATCATGACACTGTACAATGTCAAAAATAAATAAGCCAACTTCAAATTGCATTTATAGAGCGCCTTTCACTCCAGGAGAATAATAATATTAATAATCCTTGCATTTGATACAACGCTTTTCACGTCTTCTAGACGTCCCAAAGCGCTCCACAGAATATACTGTAAAGTGAATTGACTGTATATTTGTGGGCGAATGCAGCAGCCAATTGCGCATAGCAATGTTCCACAAACAATCGTAGATTGAAAATGACCAATTTATTATTGAGTTTGGTTTTGGAGGGATTATTATCAGGCGTGTGGAGTAAGGAAACTTGCCCAAGGTTTCGCCCTGCCTGGAATTGAACTCAGGTCTCTCACTTGCAAAGTGAGTGCTCTATCCACTGAGCTACAGGACTCCACAGGAAATCCCATAGCACTGGCAATTGAAACAAAACTGGATAAACACATAAAGAAAAACATTTAAAATTATGGGGAAAGAGCAGAGGAACGAGAATACAGTAAATAGCTCTGTTGGGTTTGCATAAGCACAGATGCAACTAGCCAATGGGTCTTCTCTGCTGGAACCTTTCCATGATTCCACTTTAATAAAAATAGCACTGCTCCACCAACACAAAAAAGATTGTAGCTGCAGAATTATAAATTATTGCCTTTCTTCCACCAAAGTTTCAAGGAGAAACCTAAACGTAATAGTTAGTCACTAATATATTCTGTTTGGATTTTCTTTAAAAGGTGGTTGTGAATGACTTGCCAAATGAATTCCACCGAATGAATATATAATGTGCTGTTTTGAAAGAAATTTGCCGAGTGTTCCACTTCTCTTAGAATTGCAAAACTGTATAAACCTAAAGTCATCTTGAAATCATTATTTCACTTATATAAAAATACATTAAAAAAAACTAGGAACATATTGTTTGAGTGGGTTTTCTGCTGCTGGCATGTACTATACCAGAACAGGATTTTTTNGGTCAGCCTGATACATGCGGAAACTCATTCCCATGATTAAGAGGATCCAAACCAGACAGAGGTCCACAAATGCATTCCACCTACGCTTGAAATGGCCTTGTGTCTGGAAATGCAGTGCAGACTCTCTCCCCAGACGGATGTACCCTCTGGGGAGAGAGTATGCACTGCATTTCCAGAAAGAAGTGGTCCAGGTTGGCAAGAATCAAAGGTTTGGGCCCCTAAAGTGTGCATTGAGGGTACTGCTAAAGTTATTCCAGATAAATACAGATAGTTTTCCATTGTGAGCATTGACTGGCAAGCTACCCACTGATTGTCCAGATGGCACCACCACATGAGATAGGACTTTGTCTTGTAGTTTAACAGGAGCCATGCGAAAAGAATCCTTTCCCCCAATGACTGGTCTTTCCCTCCAAGTCCTGCCGATGCGCTAGATTGGCAATCAGTAGTGTCCTGGAGTTTTACTCGCTGAAGATAGAGAATCGTGGTCATTTGACCTGCAACAAGTGCAGGTTGTTCCCTTTCAATGTATACCAGGAACCAGGTACAGGTTCAAGTGCAGGTACCAGGAACTTCCTATGAGCCTCTTCGCAAGCAGCAGAGTTCAATATGAAATACTCGAGAGTATTGCCACTATCCTGCCTTTTATTGGATACACATCCCTACTCATTGAGTAATGGCTCAACAAGTTGGAAATGCAACTATTTATCTCTATGCAGATCAGTCAAGGTGAATATCAAGCCTGGTAATATGTGTATGTTCACAGAACAGGTTTTGCAGTAACAACAATGTGTTTGTCCAGGCCTCATCCTGCTGGGGGTCAGGTGGGCAGTGAGGTTGAGGGGTGGGGGTCTCCTTGGAGCTGAGTTGATTCTAACTTGACATGCTTGGCAATGGAATGTGGGAATCAAATCAATCTTCTGTGGCGATATTGGTCGTTCAGTTCCTGAGTAAGGTGGGTCCATGGTGTTCAATGGCCCTGTTAATATCAGACCTGCCACCTCAGTTCATCAGCTGGACTTGGAAAGTTAGACCAACAACAATAAATTGGATTTAAATAGCGCCATTCTCGTAGGATTGTGCCTTGGCAAGGTTAGACGTCAAGCGAGGAAGACGGGGAGTTGACCAGAAAAATTATGCTGTATGAGTGGAGGAGGGAATTCACCACATAGCAAATCCAATTAACATGGAAATCCACCCTTCTATTAAATGGTAACCTCCACCCGCACCCATTTATGCACAAAACACAGGGTATGAATTACACTTATGCAACGTAGCATTTTGGACTACTTGCATATTGTTGTAAGTTCAACAATATTGCTTCCCAGCCCTGAATTAGCCAAGAAAAATACTTACTTAGAATTTGCATAGAGTTGATATCAAATCGTACTCTGTGAAACACAGTGTATCCAGCAGCAAGATAATCTTTTTTGCATGAACAGTCCTCTCTTCTGTTACCATTATGAGGACATTCATAAGGATTGTGCAACCTGGAAGATAAGATTAATTTTGTAGTTTTTCTTTTATGCCCCCTCTCCCTGCACACACACACACACACAAAACAATTAGTTTTGCAAAACATTACACATTGCAGGATTACGTTAAATTTTGGTAAAAGTTTAAAAGAAGTTCACACACTGCAGTATTGGATTGATACATTACATACATTAGAATATACAGCACAGAAACAGGCCATTCGGCCCAACTGGTCTATGCTGGTGTTTATGCTCCAAATGAGCCTCCTGCTATCCTTCCTCAACTAAGCCTTCAAGCATAACCTTCTATTCCTTTATCCCTCATGTACCTATCCAGCTTTCCCTTCAATACATTCATGCTATTTGCCTCAACAACTCCTTGTGGTACCATGTTCCACATTCCCAATACTCTCTGTGAATAAATTTCTTTTAACTTCCCTATTTGATCTATTTGTGACTATTTTATATTGATGGCGCCTGGTTTTGGTCTCCCCCACAAGTGGAAACATCTTCCTTATGTCTACCCTATCAAAACCTTTCATAATTTTAAAGACCTCTATCAGGTCACTCCTTACCCTCCTCTTTTCAAGAGAAGAGTCTAAGCATGTTCAGCCTTTCTTGATAGGTATAACCTCTCAGTTCTGGGATCATCCTTGTGAGTCTCCTTTGCACCCTCTCCAGTGCCTCTACATCTCTTCTATAATATGGGGACCAGAACTGCACACAGTATTCTAAGTGTGGTCTAACCAAAGTTCTATAGAGGTTTACGATAACTTCCCTGCTTTTCATTTCTATCCCTCTATAAAAAAAACCAATGCCTGGCCTGCTTTTTTTTGGCCTTATTAACCTGGGTTACTACTTGTAGTGAATTGTGTATGTGTACCCCTAGATCGCATTGCTCCTCTTCCCCATTTAGATTTTACTTTCCAGGATGTATGTGACTTCCTTATTCCTTCTACCAAAATGTACCAGCTCACACTTTTCTACATTGAAATGCATTTGCCATTTAAGTGCCCATTCAGTAAGTTTATTAATGTCTTGCTGTAATTTGTTGCAGTTCTCCTCTATATTAACTATGCCCCCCAATTTGGTGTCGTCTGCAAATTTTTAAATTGTACTGCTGATTCCCAAGTCCAAATCATTAGTGTATATTGTGAATAACAGTGGTCCCAATACCGATCTTTGTGGAACACCACTGCCCACCCCCTGCTAGTCTGAGTAGCTACACTTTACCCCTACTTTCTGTTTTTGGTTTTGTAGCCAGCTTGCTAACCATTCTGCTATTTTTCCCCTGATTCCACGTGTTCTGACCTTATTCATTGGTCTATTATGTAGTACCTTATCGAACGCCTTTTGGAAATCTAAATATATTACATCTACTGCATTACCCTTGTTTCTTTCTTTCTGTTACCCCTTCAAAGAATTCAATGAGGTTGGTCAAGCATGACCTTCCTTTTTGAAATCTGTGCTGACTATTCTTTATTATGTTTTCCATTTCTAGATGTTTTTCTATTACCTCCTTCAGTAAGGATTCCATTATCTTTCCTACCACTGATGTTAAGCTGACAGGTCTGTAGTTCCCTGGGCTTGTTCTATCTCCCTTTTTAAATACAGGTGTAACATTAACTATCCTCCAATCCTCTAGCACTACTCCCTTTTCTAATGAGTTATTATTTATGCGTAATAGTGCCTCTGCTATCTCTTTCCTCGATTCTTTTAATATACGCGCATGCAATCCATCTGGACCAGGGGTTTTATCCTCTCTGAGTTTTGTTAGTTTTTGATTATATCTCCCCTTTGTATCTTAAAGTATTTATATTATTTTCAATATCTTCTTCTACCATCATGTCCACCTGATCCGTCTCCCTGATGAATACTGAGGCAAAGTAATTATTTAATATTTCTGCCATTTCGCTGTTGCGGCCTGTGAGCTTATCTTGTCCATCCCTTAGTGACCCTATTCCTATTTAGATTTTTCGTTGGTTATTTATATGTCTGTAGAATATTTTACTATTTCTTTTTATATTCCTTGATAATTTAATTTCATAATTCCTCTTTGCCTTCCTAATTGTTTTTTTTGACTATTTTCCTGACCTCTTCGTATTTTTTTTGTCATGCTCTCCCTTGTTGTTTACATACTTAGTGAATGCCTCTTTCCTGAGTCTCAACTTTACCTTTATGTCTTTATTCATCCATGGTGTCTCATTATTATTAGCTTTGTCTTGCTTTTTAGCGTAATATATTTCTCCTGAATTCTATTGATTACTGTTTTAAATGTTTCCCACTGCTGCGCTATCTCTTTGTTTACCAATATTGTTTTCCAGTTTATTTTCCCAAGTTCCATTCTCATCCCTCAAAATCAGCTTTTTTCCAATCTATTACCCTGGTCTTTGTCACTCATGTCCTTCTCAATCTTTACCTTAAACCTTATTAAGTTATGATCACTATTGCCTAGATGTTCCCCTACTCGTACTTCTCTTATCTGCTCTGGTTCATTTCCCATTACTAAATCCAGCAGAGATTCCTCCCTTGTTGGGCCTCTTACATACTGGGTAAGAAAGGAGTCCTGTACACATTGAAGAAACTCCATTCCCTTATCCCCTTTACCTACCTCTTCTAGCCAATTTATTTGGTGGTAGTTAAAATGCCCCATGATTATTACTTAACGTCTTTTACTCATTTCCCTAATTTGCTTGCATATTTCTTCCTATACCTCCCTTCTACTGTTAGGTGGTCCGTAGAGTACCCCTATTTGTGTGATTGTTCCCTTATCTTTTAACGCTTTTCACATAGATTCTGTTTCTATCTTATTGTTGGCTATGTCCCTTTTTTCTACTGCAATGATATTATCCCTAACGAGTACAGCTACTCCACCACCTTTTTACCCATCTCTATCCTTTCTAAATACGTTATACCCTGCAATGTTTAATTGCTAGTCCTGTTCTTTTTGTAGCCATGTTTCAATAATCGCAATTATATCTGGTTCCTCACTACAAATTACTGCCTCCAGTTCCCCTGTTTTATTTCGGATGTTGTGTACATTGCTGTACAGACAGTTTAATTCATTATTATTAATTGTTTCTCTCATTTTATTTTTGACAGTGTTTTCACACTTCTGTTCTATAACTGTATTAATTCCCTGACCATTTATATTCTCATTTCTTACTTTTGTCTGGCTTGAGTCATTTCTTTCTGATCCCTCCCCTTCTTTTACGAGTTTAAAGCCTTTGCCACTGCCCTATTTACCCTTTCCACTTGGACTTTGGTCCCCTTGCAGTTCAGGTGGAGCCCGTCCATTTGTAAAGCTCCTTCCTGTCCCAGTATTGGTGCCAGTGTCCCATGAAGTGGAACCCTTCTTTTCCACACCAATCCTTTAGCTAGAGATTATTACCCTTGAGGTTCTGTCTTTTAATTTAGCTCCTAACTCCTGAAACTCCCTCTGCAGGACCTCCTCCCTGTTTTTTCCTATGTTGTTTGTCCCAACATGGACCACGACAACTGGATTTGCCCCCTCCCTTTCCAAATTCCTCTTTAGCTGCTTTGAGATGTCCCTTACCCTGGCACCAGGGAGGCAACACACCCTTCGGGACTCTCTTAAATCTTCATAAAGTTAAATGCTGCTTATGCACACACTTCTCACATAAATAAGCCTCAAACATGAATGAGGAACTGAAAATGCATTTAATATTAGTATGGTAGCACATTCAGAGTTTGTTAATGCAGTGCATTACCTGTATCCATAGATTTCGGAGTAGTTATCTGCCTCACCACTGGACAAAGTCACATACTCCCTGGGATAATCAGAATGCATTTCTGCACAGTAGATCTGTAAACCAGAACATCTATGTAATAATATTCCGCTTATGATTCTCCCCAATTATGCAGTTTGTTAACAATATACCTTTATTACTTTGCCATTGATCTTTAACAAGTACTCTCCATCCTTTTTCACTTCATTTTTCTTCTGAATGTCACTGCAACTTTCCGAGACATCACCTTTAAAAGATTTAGAGATTGTACACAAAATATGAGCTTGGTCCAGTTGGTTGCATTCTTTATCTCCAAGTTGGAAGGTTGTGGATTCAAGACCCACACTGATACTTTGCCTAATACTATGTTAACACTTCAGAGTAGGACAAAGGGAGGGCTGTTTTACCAAAGGTGCCATCCTTCATATAATCCAAGTTCTCATCTGTTCAGCTCATATGGATGGATGGATGGATGGATGGATTGATGGATATGATATGATTCAAATAGTGAAGGGTGCTTCTCGCAGACTAACGGGTAATTCACCTCATAGCAATTTGTGGGAACTTGCTAATGTACAAAATGGCTGCCATGTAGGCCTACAAAAACAGCTGCCACTCTTGATAATTACTGTAAAGCGCTTTTGAAATGTTTATGGCACATAAAATGCAAAAAGAAATGTCAGCTCTTTCTTCGTTCTAGATTATCGTCATGGAATAATAATGGTGGATTGGGTACACAACAACAACTTGCATTTATATTGTGCACTTCCAGTAAGGTGTTTTGGAACACTGCAGTTACGTGGTCGGACGCTGAGCAAGGAAGGAAATAGGTAGGTGGAAGTGACCCTAAAAACACAACAACTTGCATTTATATAGCACCCCTCTCGCACGCAGGGTAGCGTCCCAGAGCTCTTGAGGCAGAGCGACCATTGACGCGGTCGACAAGATTAACCTGCTGCTAACAATTTATACTACTAAAAAACAAGGCCAATGCCAATAAAACGACTCATTTTCTGTTGTCCACAACACTGAGCATTGTAAGGTTATCCTATTTTACAGAAATGTTCAACATTGCTCCAATTGTTAGTGGAAGATTGTCAAGACCATGTCAATGTCATAAACATATAAATCTTCAAAATATCATAATGCTTGCACTTTGAGCTTGCAATAAAATACAATTTACATTTAGACAGTGCCTTTCACTTCAGGAGGATGCCTCAAAGCACTTCATACCATTAGCTGGGCACTGGAGCTGGGGGGTGGGAGCCGAAGAGGGTGGGGAATGGAAAGCTGACTGAGTGCATGAGTGCATCCTGAGATAAAATATAGCATGGTGAATCAGGTTCCTCAGCTCCAGCTCCAAAAATAAACTCATTATTCCCTTGCAGTAGTCGAAAAGAGAAGGAAGTTTCTCCAGGTATTTTGGCAAACACTTCCTCAAATTAAACTGGTCATTCACTTCATGGCTGTTTGTGGGTGGTTGCTGTGCGAAAAATGACTACCACTTTCACCCACAAAATATGCAATCTCTTCACTTTATAGTATACCCTGTGAAGTGCTTTGGGATGTCCTCCTGATGTGGTAGGCGCTATATCAAACGCAAAGATTATTATTACTTACAATCATCATTGAAGCAGGGAACTCGGAATTGTGGCTTTTCATTTGAGAGGCAAAATTCACTAAGTAGACCATCATCAGCGAGGCACTGAACTCTCCTCTCCATTACCCCAGGTCCACAAGTCACTGAACACTAAAACAATCATTTTTCAAGCAAGGAAAGAATTTTAGTCTTTTTAAGTCAAAAAGAGTGGTCATTCACATCATTGAAGATATTGTTAGTGCAAACTAGCTGCCACGTTTGGTTACAAAATACACCATCACTACACTGGAAATAGTGCATCAGCTTGGTTCAATTGGTAACTGTCAGTCTTGGGTCAGACATTGGGTTGGAACTTGAGTTTGCAGTCTAGGGTAACCTTCCAGTCCAGTATTGAGAAAGCACTACACCGCCAGAAGGATTATCCTTTGATGTAACTAAGGTCTCGCAAACTGTCATGAAGTAAATAATCACTTTATCTGGGGGATTGTTGTCCAGGTCATCGGGAGATACATACTTCTATTGTCCAATAGTGTCATTAGATTTTTATTGCTCAGCTGAAAGAGCAGATACAACCTTTATTTGAAGTACACACCTTAAAGTACCTCCAACTTTAACTTTAACTGCTTGACTCAGGAGCATTTTTGTGTACGAGTCACAACATTGTGGGTCCCCATGTTGGGACCTTGAACCCATAAACTGGCACTCCAGTGCGGTTCTGGACTTGCTCATTCTGGTAACTCATTTGCACAGCAGCCAAAAGTTTTATCAGCTGAATAATTGATAGAGTTCCATATAGATTTTGTTTTGATATTGCATTCAATTCAAAGAAAAAGAGAGCGAGCGGTAGAGAGAGTGAGAGGGAGATACTTTGGGAGCTCAAGGTATTAAGAAATTATAGAAAACAGCAGGTAAATGTAATTAAAAAGATGAAGATCGAGCATGAATATAAAATGGTGAAGTAGGCTTGATGAGACAAATGGTTTACTCCTAAGTTGTTCTCAACCACTGGAGGGAACGAAATGGGTGGGTATAAGAAATGTTCTTGTGATTATAGAAATTGTATACGATGGGCAAAGGAGTAAAGGTCTGAATGAGGAAACTGGAGTGAGCCCTGAGGTGAGCGTATTATCAACTAAGCCAAACCGATTTTGATCTAGGCCAAACATTCTGATATGAAACTGACAACAGTACGTAAAGCTTTTTAAAACATAACAACTATTCCTTCTCTAAGCAGCCAATTGTATCAATGTATGATAGTGCCAACTTATTTGTTTCAATGTGTGAGACTCATGTTGCAACGTCTATTAACTAAAAGCAAAACATCTCCCCCATTCTCTACTGAACACATACCTTACTCCATCCGCCCATTCTCCAACTGCCTGTTGGAGGGCACTCTCTCAGATTACATTCTTGAAAATCAGATGGTCGGGGTTTTGGACAGCCATTGAATATTGTTGATTGCAGATAATGTGAATAGTGATCTTGACTTGATTGGGCCTGATTGCAGTAAACCATTCTTTGCTGATATCCTGGGCCACAAGTTGTCGAACACTATAAAAATATTATCAATAATAAAAGTACTCAGGTTTCAGCTTTTTGGAATCCAGGACAGTAAAGCATTCAAACAGGATTTCTTAATTAAGGCTCTTAATTGGCTCAGAGATAAAAGTGCGTAGACTTTCAGGAATTCCATCTGATTCAATCTATTTTTGAAGCAAATTTTGCTCAAGGAAGCACAATGCACTAACTAGATGTTGATTTCACTCAGATTCCTTAGTTGAGGAATGCCGGGGGTTAGAAATGTTGGTTCTCCTCAGTTATGTTAGAATAGACAGACCCATGAAGAATTTCACTGCTCATCTGTTCATCAGACGTGGCCTTTTCCAATTATCGTCACCTTCTGTCAACCCAGTTTTGAATCCCACAAACTGATCTTTTTACTGCATTAGCCAAAAACCTCACTTAATCACATGGCTGCTAAAAACAAGCAAGTAACCTCTAGTGGATGTCTTAAGTCAAATTTCCTCAAAGAATTTCAGTCAATTCATTTGGCACGGCCTAAACAAAATCATAACTAACTAGATTTGGAACAACTCCACTGACCTCAGTGGATGTGAACAATTCATTTTAAACGTTTCCATTTGCATATCTCCTGCATAGTTTGATCCAACTTATCCCTCAAACAAAGTTAACACTTGATCTTGCTTACACTATTTTAAAAACAAGTTTTTGGATCTCTTTGACCTGGTATCCTAAGATCAACCTTTCTTAATCTTTGTTTTGACCTTACTATTTTACAGTTTTTTGTTCAGCTCTAATAAACTATTTTTGGTCTACTTGTTCAGTTTTAATAATTTTGCTCAGCCCCCTTCAAGTCATTTTAAGCTATCACTATGAATCATAGAGGTTACCAGTCTATTGGCAGGCTACATTTATAATGTGGAAATCCCACAAGAAAACACACACCATCAAGGTCCACAGATTTAGTGACCAGTTGTCATGTGTGCCTTGGATCTTACAATTTATTTTCAACAGAATAATCTTAAAACTATATCTTATTATTTTATTCTGTTTTCTCCTAGTTAATGCTCCTTAGAATCTTCTCAAAGCCCCAAAGTTTCCTCTTCTAAAATCTGTTAAATCCCCAGTTTTAGCCTTTATTACATCATAAAATCCTGATGGTAACTGAAAATTTTGCTGGAATTACCGTGAGTTGACATGACACATATCTGGTTACTCATAGAATTCAATATATACAAATGCTTTGTTAATCATGTTAAGAATCCCATATTTGAGATCTTTCTTTGGTTCAAAACCCAACTGATCTGTTCTGATGGCCTGTTAAATCCCAATGCAACATTTGTCACAGTGTGCATGTTGTGTTAAAAAGTGATTATCTCTTCATAAATTGCTTTATTGCTCCCGTTCTGCATGCAGTTCTTTTGGTTACTGCAATATCAAAATCCCTTATGAGGGTCTTCCTAGTTCTTGCAACCTTTCTTACTTGCTTCAAGGTCTTGCTATTGACTTATTTGCTTTTACTTCTTGCATCCTACTGGGGGAGGGGCATTCCTTTGAATCTATAGTTAAAGACCATTTATGGAGCAGAAAAGAGACCACACATAACCCAATTATTTAACTTCAAAGAACCTGATGCTGACATTGGGTGAAAAAAAATTCCATTCTCCAGCTCTGACGTGCTTCACTTTTCGGCAGAAAATTCACAAATGCCCCTTTCCTAAACAACTAACAAATAAAATCTGTGCTCCAGCACAAACAACATACATCTTGTGAACCATACCATAGCAGTTACATTTTGTCATTGCTAAGCTACTTCTAAAGTATCTCAACAGAATACATCATCCGTGACACCGCACAGTTTCCTGGACCACTATGACATTTCTGTTTCCCACTCCAATCATCTTTACATCTATCTTTGAGTGGTTTCTCACAATAAATAGTAAAGTAGAACCATTTTGTGCTCCTGACTTATTGTGAACTGAGATGAGACGGTCTCGTAAAACATCACTCAGTACACTGAATAACTTAGTAAGTTTTTGATTTCCTTCTCAAAGAGCCCCCCAGGACCTTCCATTCCCTCATTTCCATTAATAACAGTATTGTCCCCAGTCTTTTGAACCCTTGAATTTACCAACAGCTTTGGTGTGCGGGCCACAATGTGGATACAACCTTATCATATTCAGTAAGTAGACATTGACATCATCCACTTGTACTTCACTTGAACACTCTTTACACCCACCCTCCCCAAACTTGCTTATCCACTTTTTAACTTTGTTACACAATAACCTGTTACTGAATGTTTGAAACAAAAACTTTAACTTTAGAACATTATGTTGCTTGAACCCTTTAACCTGTGCTGAATAAATGGAAACCAATATGAACTGAAAATAATTTATGAGTCATGATTAATTATAATTGATGCACTGGATATGGAGATATCACAGTTATTCTGTTGCAATTGAATACTCACAGGAAAATCATCTGAATCCATTTTAAATGAAGGAGTATTATATGTGTAATCCAAACTGATCTTTTATGAATTGGTTTGCACAATCCCTTTTAAATCCATCAATTCCCTAATGGTCTGTATATCCACCTCAGCTATTAAGCATTGATGGTTCGCTGCCAAGTTCCCATCATATTTCTAGCTATTTATTCTCCCTGACAAATTTTCCTCCATTAATCTTCCTTCATCTTCAAAGTTAATGATTTTTTCAGGTTAAGAGTGTTAAGTGTAGTTAACCTCACCTCAGAAATCTTACATCGTCAAGGAACATGAATACACTTTTGTTATAGTTATGATAATTCCATTATCTAATTCACTTCTTAAGTGTGTGAAATGTGCTGCAAACTACAAAACTCCTTAAACATTGTCTTGAAGTAAGTGTTGGTCCACCATAAGGACTTTTTGGGGTTTATTTGTCAAGTACTAACTTTGCTAATCGAACAACTGTCATATGTTTTGAAATGCCACGGGTTCACAAACTTATCTAAACTGCTTGTTTTTAGTTTGCATTGTATGGGATCAATTAACTTTTCTAGCTTCCAAGAAAAGCACATGTTTTTGATCATGTGGGATCCTCACAAAAATATTTCTGAGTGTCTTCAATTTCTGGCTCAAATAATCGGAGGAATTTACTCTGATCCTAAATTGTTTTGCCGAATATTTTTTGATTACTTTTCTGAGCCTAATTTTTTTTATCCTATTGTGTGGCATGTGGGATTCTGGTGCAGGGACACTTTGCAGTGGTTTACAATAGAGGAGTACTAATTGGAGCCAGAAATTGGATCCAAACTTACTGAGGTCATTTTGATCGGGGAATGTTCAGATTCCTTATAAAATAAAAAAAAATCTGTTTTCCTAAGAAATCTAAACCAAAAATGTGAGATTCAGAAAAGGGTCTTCTTTAGTTAGTGGCCTTGACAGCACTTTTAAGTTTTTCAGGTCCCATGCAGGGATATATATGGGGGAAAATCAGACATGGTTGAACCAAACCATATGGAGTACTCGACTAAACACTAATTCACTCAAATCAGTCACTGACTGAAACACAGCACTTTGTTGTAACAGGGCATAGACAGTGAAAGGGGAAAACAATTAATAGTTTTAGTGTCAATAACACAGTGTATCAGAGAAACAGCACCACAGACTTCAGGATCTTTTTTGACAACAATCCATACCTGTGACCATTCCCCTGTAATCCAAATGTATTCACAAGGGACATTGATGCACTTTTCCACAGAAGTGGGCTTGGTCGAATCATTGCAGCGACTTTCTTCCACCGGCTCCTTCAGATGGTCGACACACATCACCTTACGATCCCTCATGCCTTCACCACATGGCACAGAGCACTATGTATGGGAACAAACCAAGTAAGAAGGAATGGTTTGGCTGTAGGATTCCTTGCAACTTTTTAAACTGGTTCTACAGTGAGCTGTCACTATGATTTATTAGGAACACATTCCTGATAAATGAGGACATCTATACTACCTGTCAGATTTACCTTCCAGTCTTATAAATTGTTAAAACACATAAGATTAGTTTGAGAACCGTTTTGGCATAAGAACATGATTTCATCATGCAACATCATAAAAATCTTAACAGCAATTACAGTAGATGTCTTACTTGCATGCAAAAATGCACATATGTTCTTTTGATCTTTGCTGGCGACATGAAATTAATTTCTCCCTCAAATACACACACACTCCGTTCCTCCAAGTTATAATTTATTTCCGCTTGAAAACTTGAAAAAACATTACCCAGTTTAGAAAAGAAATATTAGAAATGCATGAATAGAAAATGTGGTCATGTTTTCTGAATCATTAATAAAGGGATGGTCCACTGAAATGATATGGTTCTTTAAGATTCATGATTAGACCTGGTAATGCACCGCATTTAGCAATAATAATAATCCTTGCATTTAATATAGCGTCTTATCACATCTTCGAGACGTCTCAAAGCTCTTTACAGAATATACTGTGAATTGTGTGTATTTTGTGGGTGAAATGTTACATATCAAATGTTAAGTCATTGTAATACTGTTTATTGTACTCCACTGTGCTGGTTTCATCAATATGTCATGATATTGTGAGTTTGTAGCATCAGAAACCACTAAGTAGAGCATCACTGCCAGGTGGCTAAGAAGTAAAATTAACAAGATTTATTGCAGTTGACAGACTGAAATTTGATACCTTTTGAATCATATCTTCAGTTATAAGTCAAGATCCTTATGTGAACCTGAATTGTGATATGATTAAAATATTATAGTCTTGACACTGTCTGTCTCTTAGGCTGAACTAAAATTCAGATACAAAATACCTTTTTGTCTATCATTGGTTATACAATGGAAGATTGAAGCTTCAGAGTTTATTCCAGAGTGGTCTTAAGAACAAAAGCATTAGTTCACTTAAGTATTAAGTATTACCAGCACGGTTCAGGTGGTATCACTCTCGCCTCTGAGTCAAAAGGTTGAGGGTTCAAGCTGGAAGTCTTGGAGCTCATGGTCTAGGCTAACATTCCAATGCAGGGCTAGGGAAGGGCTACATTACTGCAGGTGCCATCCGTCAGATGAGAAGTTAAACCTATCTGCCTGTTGAAGTGGAGATTAAAGATCCGGCAGCACTATTGAAAAAGAGAAGCTGGTTTCCCCCTATGTCCGGGCCAACAATACCCCAAATAGCAACAACAACTTGCATTTATATAGTGCCCCTCACGCAGGGTAACGTCCTAGAAACGCTTGACCGTGGCGGAACATGGTGCCGAGCTGGGGGGAGGTGACCATAGGCACTGTCGAAGAGGAAGGTTTTCTGGCACAACTTGATGATGGGAAAGGAAGGGATACAACGGAGGGATAGAGGAAGAGTGTTCAACGGTTTGGGGGCGTAGAGACTGAAAGTGGGGGTGCCGATGGTGGAACAGAGGGTTCAAGGGCCATGCAGAAGGCTGGAGCCAGTCGAGCGGAGGCAGTGGGTTAGGGCTTAAGCTGGTCGGAGAGGTAAGGAGGTACCAGGGCATGAAGAGATTTAAAAATGAGTGTGAGGATCTTGAAATCGAGCCATTCGGGGATAGAGAACCAGTGGAGCCTGGCTAGAACTGGTGTGATGGGGGGGAAGGAATTTAGTGCAGGCGCGTATGCGGGCAGCGGAGTTTTAGATCAGCTGGATCCAGCGCCTGGTGGAGCTGAGAAGACTGGCAAAGAGGACATTTGAAAAGTCGAATCGGTTGCTCGCTGCATTGCTGTGCACAAATTGGCTGCCACATTTACCTACAAACACACCGTCACAAACTTTACAAATAATCCTGTGCATCGCTTTGAGACATTTTGATGACGTGAATAAAACAGTATATTGAATACAAGGATTATTATTATAAATTGTGACATGGCAATGTTTTCTTACAAACAAATTATTTTGCATTGCTCAATTGTAATAAAAATGCATTACATTTTACTGTTTCCAAATCAACATTATCTTGTTCTTAGCTTTTTAGATGTTTCTGCAATGAGGATTTATTTGTTGGACATTTTATTTCTTCCCAAATGCTTTTTTTTAAACTTCTAACTAAATCTCAAGAATACAAAACAATGGTAACACAATTCAACAGTTAAAGGCCTTTAAAAAAGGATGATAAATAGCTTATACTGGAACAAAATAAATGACTTGGAACAAAACAGTAGCATGGATGAATGTTAATACATTTCACAGAATCAGCAGCCTAATTAATACAAGGTGGTTGGAGAAAAGCCATCGACTTAAAATCAATTTACCATGGTAACTCTCACTAACCAAATCAAAGAACTTAAAATGCTACTCGTACACAAGGTTTACTGCCTGTTCAAATGGATATTAAAGAGCGTATGGCACTATTCAAAAAGAGAATGAATAAAATTGGTCATTCACTTCATGACTGTTTGTGGGACATTGGCATGGACAAAGTAGGTACATTAGGTGAAAGATGGAAATATCACATTTGGTTAAACTTGACATAAGGAAGGCCTTGGCCAAAAAAAATTATATCGCAACTCAGAAGGAGTGAGTTCAGCATTCACAAATGTTTCAATATTGCTGTCAGTGCTTCCGATTTTGCAAAATAAATAGGGCAGGGTCCAAGCTACAACAGTCTCAGTTTTTTTTGCAGCCTGATGTTTACAACCAGCAATTTAGTATCTTTAGTCTTCAGTCATCCTTCAAGACATAAAAACTATATATAAGAAGCCTGTACAGAGGAGGCCGGATTAATATGAAATGAGGGTACATGAAGACCCTATCAGAAATATAGTTCTCCAGACAGATTTTTAATGTCCATTGTAATTATATTAAGTGTATTCAGTAAGTTTCCCATACACTTAGCAGCTAATACCAATCAGTTTCTTACAGATTCTTACAATTCCATAAGCTCCGGCTGCTAGGCACTAAAAGTTTCAGCAGAATGTTTATTTAGAGGGAGACAGAGCTCAAATTGTGATTGGCCTCAATGAACCTCCATGCTGTTTTTGGGCACAAACATTCAGAATCCTGTACAAGTGATGTTGCTCAGAAAAGCAATGACAGGTTTAGTTGTACAGGAGATAAATAACACACGTGACATTAGCTGCTGCCCTTAGCTTCTCTGTCCCTATTTGAAATATTCAACAAGTGAAAACTGGTATATTTGTAGGAGTCCTGTAGCCTCACAAGCGAGAGACCTGGATTTGATTCCCGGCAGGACAAAACCTTGGTCAAGTTGCCTTACTCCACACTACTGATAATAATCCCTCAAGAAAAAAAACAATAATACAGTTGGTCACTTCAATCCACGACTGTTTGTGGAACACAACTGAGTGCAATTGGCTGCCGTGCTTCAACCACAAATATACAGTCCTTACAGTATATTCTGTGAAGCGCTTTGAGATATCTAGAAGATGTGAAAAACACTATATTAAATGCAAGGATTATTATTATTGTTATATGCCAGCCTTTTAATCCATTGTCAGTACGGAACAGATGCATTGCCAGACGATTAGTTCAAAGTAACATGGCCCAATTACTGCAGTGGGAACAGGAGTTTTACATTTTGCTAGCTATAACCAATGCCTTTGGAGTGATGGATCACGTAAAGCCATAAGGTGTGAGAACTTTCAGAGGAAACACAATAGATTTCAGAACAGGGCAAAACTTTCCATAATAACTTTCCATTATATCATTCCTATGTTTTGGCAGCTCAGTTTTCAGGGTGTCAAATCTTGAACTCTTGGTAACGGCTCCTTATTCAAAGTCTATGAAGCAGTTTTTATTTCCAACAGACTTGGATGGTTACATGAGCCAAGAGTGATTATATTTTGGTTGATGATGGAGTGGCTTGATATTTTACTGCTGTGCAATGCAGTGCCAGTGGGTTATTATGGAAACCATGAAGCAAGCGGTTTCTGGGGATCAAAGCGAGTGGTTGTACGGTTTGAGGAGTTTGCAGAATTAGGGTGTGGAGGGATTTAAAAGTGAGAACGAGAAACTTGAATAGTTTGGGCGAGGTACTGTGCCAACCACCGCAGTGTGTGCAGTTTTATCAACTTTGGGAGAAGATGCTGCCTTTCTTTCCTTCCAAGTAGGAATATAACTATTATATTGGTTTCGATTGGTGAATCGCTTTTCCGGCAGTAAAAATCCCTTCAAAATTTTTTTAATAATAATTTGGTACCTCAATCCACGACTGTTTTAAGGACACTGCTGTGCGCAATTGGCTGATCTGCTTCACCCACAAAATATGCAGTCAGTTTACAGTATATTCTGTGAAGCATTTTGAGACGTCGCAAAGATATGATAAGGCACTATATCAAAAGCAAGGATTATCATCATAACCTAGGTGAGAATAGGAATTCACTAGGAAAGGAAAGAAGATCAAACATGTCTCTCCATAGCAACTGCCTATTTTTGTTAATCTGTTATTAATGTTTTATTTGAACTTAAATCTTACTTTCAGCCACTATGCCCCGAAACTCTGGAACAGTCTCCCTCAATCCCTCCGCCCTGCCCCCTCTCCCTTTTTTCAAGTCCTGCCTGAAAACCTTCCTCTTCGACCATGCTTATGGCCAGCTCCCTCCATCCCCCCCACCCCACCCCCGGCTCGGAGTCCGGCTCTGCCACTCACTGCTCTGAGATGCTACCCTGCGCAGAGGGTGCTATATATATCAAGTTCTTAAACGCTCTACATTGGAGTACATTTAGAGCATTCTGATATTGTGGCTAAAATAAGAAATTCTATTCATTGCAATCATCGTCAATTGTGCAACAGTTACCACCATACAATGCTGGTTTTGTGCACCTAATGGATAGTCCCTGATTAATGCCTCCCTGAATAATGCTGTCAGCACTCATGGCTGTATGCAAAACCAGACTGATTTTAATAGGTATAGTGATAGCAAGTCCCTGACTTTAAAGTACCACTGCCAATGTGACAGACAAAGTCAAGTACAGAAAGCCCAAAATATGGTCTTGTATTTGTTCAGCACATTTTTAACTTCTGGTCAATACTGATTGGATATTCAAGAATATTCCCTTTAAAGTGTGTACTTTTCACCCCAAACAGAACAATCTTAATAAAAAATACATAAGTGCAGTTTTCTAATATGCATCAGCTATTAAAATGAACAGGGACTCAATGCTTAGAATATATCAACAACCGATTGTAAAGAGAAAGCCACATTTAGAGCTGAGAGATTTGTCTTCTGCTCTGATTATCTCCAATAAATCAACTAAGCCATAAGCATATGTTTGCAAGATTTCAGAGGCTTTAGGAATTCCCCATAAACTTCTATTTTATTTTTCCTTCAAGTTAATAAACAAAAAATTACATTTAACTATGGTGCAATTTTCAACTTTTTGACATATGGCTACATAATAACATAATCCTTGCATTTAATATAGAACTATATCATTTCAAAGTGCTTCAAAGAGTTTCCTGTAAAGTGTATTGACTGAGTACTTGTAGGTAAATGCGGCAGGCAATATGCGCACAACAGTGTCCTGCAAACAACCATAAAGTAACTGCCCAATTTTCTATGTGGGGAATTGTTGGCCAAAACACTGGAAGAAACTTCCTCTCTTCCTGAATAGTGCCATGGGGTCTTTTAAGGTTTACCTCACAATATCACAAGATTGGTTTGGATGAAGAAGGTCCTTGGGCTCATCGATCTCATCCTTCCAGAACACCCATCCTACCAATCCCCCATCACAGCATTAAGCTGTCTTTTAAATGTCCAGTGTCCTGGCCTCAATGACCTTTCTGGGCAATCTAGTCCATTGGTTCATAACCTCACGTAAACAGACAAATGGGACCTCCACTTAACATCTCATCCAAAGAACAACTAAACTGCCCATTATGACTGGACTTTCCACTATACTTCAATTGTGTAAAAGATGCTTAAGTTAATTCATGGAGCTGCTCAGGAAGACCATAAATTTCAGTAAAAGCTTCAACACAATAAAATCATCCGCATCAGCCTATGCAAATACACTGAGTGCAGCCCCAAAAAGTTCCAAATGTAAGGTGCAGGAATACAACAGAATGTGTTAAAGGTCCCCCAAAACAAAAATAAATTTCATTACCACAGTATTCGGTAGACATTAACATGCTTTCTGTAACTGAATATAACGATTGTACTACAGGGTTAAAAGTCCTAGTACAAGACAAGCACGACTTGAACAATATACTCTGAATTTTGGAGACAGTTTGTGGCTTTCTTTACAGTTCCCATGCCTATCTGGTTTGGCACTTGGTCAAATAACTGTAGGCACTGTTCATGCTGCAACATGCAAACATTTGAAGTCCACACTCAGAGGAAGCACAACGAAAGAAACCCCTCTATGTTGTTTGTGACGTTAACTTATCAGATGGTACTTACGTCTTGCCATTCATCTGCACGCCACTCGTAGTGCACGCAATCAAGCAAACTGCACTGCTGTGTGTTGGCTGGACGAGAGAATGTATCGCACAACTCTTCAATTACTCGACCTATGCCCTTCAGCCTGCAGAAGACTTCCCTTTGATGCATCCCAGCTCCACAGGTCACTGAACACTGAAACCAACAGGCCAGACAAACAGGTAAGAGTATGATAAAGACTGGATAGTAAATTGACCAGATTTGTTATTCTATACAAAGCCTAAGCTGACAGCTATATATTTGTTATACCTCTATACAGACAGCTTTCAAAGCTAAAATCCGGACTGTGCACCAACTTGTGTTTAATCAACTATTCTCAGGTATGCTAGTGTGCTTAGGCATATTTAAACAATCTGACAATTTATTGTAAAATGTGCTTGATTTCAGACTCCAAAGAGTAAGATAGATCGTCTTTTGTTTAGAAAAAGAAAGTTAACACGACAATTACTTCCATATCAGACTTAAGTTTTCATGAGAAACCTAACCACAAAATAAAGAGCGGCTGTGGAGGTCACAGAAACCATGCCCAAGTATAGTATTCAAGTTTAGAGAGCCGCTTCTGGCAGCAGTTGTGGTCGAACAACATGCAAACATAATGCAGCACAAAGATCAAACACCAAAGCATGGTTGTTAGGAAAATCAGAGTTAATTAGATTTGCCTCAAAAATGCAATATTAATACTGCAAAATAGGAGACCATTTCTTCACACCCACCTTTTCTGAACAACCACTGCAATCAATTTGATTATACATTGCACAATATAGTGTAGCCTAAAAACATTTCTGCTTTTCATGACAATGTTGAATTCTCACGTTTTCAATGGATTATGTTATTCATCAATGAGTTTATAAACCTGCTTCCTCAGCAGAGTTTTTCTTAAATGAGATAAAATAAATGGATTCTTTCAATGTATGAATACTCATCACAAAAAACCTCTTCTGACAGAAATATTTTAAATTAAGGATGTTTTCCGCCAAGAAGTAATCCGACACCAACAAGGGTCCCCAGAAGAATAATGATAATTATCTTTCAAGTTAACAAGACATCTCAAAGTGCTTCATAGTATGAAGCAATATGATACTGTGAAGTTTGTTGACTATGTATTTGAAGGCAAACCCAGCAGTGAAACTGCACACAGCAATATCCCAGAAACAGCCATGAAGTGAATGATCAATTTTATCTGAGGGATTGTTGGCCAGGATACCAGGAGAAACTCCCTTCTCTTTTCGAATTGTATCACAGGAACTTTAATGTCCATATTAATAGGCAGACAGGGCCTTGCTATAATATCTCACCTGAAGGATGGCATCTCTGAAAATCCAGTGCTCTCACAGCACTGCATGAGAGTGCTTGCCTAGAAAGTGAGCACAAAACACCACAGCCTTCTGTTTTCTGTGAGAGTTCTACCAACTGAGTCAAGCTGACACAGAATATCAAGCAAATAAACATGTTCCACATTCTTACTGGTTCTGCTGTATTTTACAAGGTTCTGCATCTGATAAATTCCACTGTAAATCTTTCCTGCACTAGTATGCATCTCACTGATGCCCCAGAGACTTGGGCCTGTTGTACAACTTTTTTTCCTTGCAAATTAGAATGAAGATACCTTTCATTTTCTCAACAGCTGCCCTCTCAGTACTGAAACAGATGCAATCTCAATGCAGCTACTGAACACAGGAAAGTTAAAACCTTTGAAGTACAGGTCACTAGTGTTTCAGGCTGATTCATTCCTCTTCTTTGACACATTTCATCACACAGTTATGGCATCATCATTCTGTTGGAAAAGATTTCTTAATGAGCAAGGCAAAGAGCAGGTGCCGCTCAAGATTTTACTCTTTACGTATTGGTTCAAGTTACATTTTAAAAGTACAATTTTGCAACCTTCTCCGCAGACGATTGATTCACTGTAACCCCAATCCTTTGTTACTTTTAAACTTAAGTTAAAATATCCCCTCAAATGAAATTCTAAAGTTCGAAAAGACATTTAGTGGCTGTTTTGTCTATGTGGCTGATTGGGAGATTACCTCACACAGCCTTTAGTAGGATTGCTTCAAATGCAATTTGTGACATAATAGTCAATTCTACAACTCTTTAGGATGTCCTAAAGAGAGAATGTGAAAAAGGGTTAACACTACCATTTCATGCAGGTTAAATGGTCTTATTAAGTCCTCAACAACATGAGTGTAAAAATGTCTTGGCCTTGTTTTGGCATTACCGTCTAAAAGAATTGAACTATTTTTAGATTTTGGTTGTATTGTGCTAATTGAAATAGTGTATCAGGATAAAAAATATTTTTAACATTCAGCCATTTTCAACAAAGTAAAATTTGAAAGCTTTTTTTCTAAAAAAAACAAATAGAAACTCCCAACGTCAAGAGATAAGACTTTGTATTGGTGAGCCAGTGCACAATGGTAGAATGGGAATTGAAATCTACGAAGGACAAGCAGTTTGCTGGTCTGCTGCCCAAACCCAAACAATCCTTTTATTATAAACCTTGATAAACAGATTAGTCTTCTAGTACACTCAAAAACTCAGATATTCATTTCACCATCTCTTCAAAGTTAACTGTGCTGATACAGCCCCGTGAGTGACTGTATCCAATTAAATATTTACAACTTTTTTTAAAACTAATCTGTGGTTTGGAACTGAAATTTGAAGTCATTTTTTTATTTTCTACAAAATACATTCTTCAATCACAAAACAAGCAGCTTCCCTATCTTGGATCTGTGACATTTTTAATAATTGAAATGAACCTTAAAGTTAATAATTTATTTTCAGCTATCACAGTCCCATCTACCAGCTCAAGTTGGCAGATAAATGAACAAAACTTAAAGGTATGAAGCCTTTCAGTTTTAACATTTCTGCCTTCAAGAAACTTAATCCAAGCTGTAACTTCAAATGAACATTTACTTAATGGGCGTTTTGTTTCATATAAACTGCTGAATTTAAATGGAAATTGATTGAATTAGAAAGATTACGATCAAAGATCAGAAAGGTTTATCGACAGAGGTAATTTCTGTGTAAATGTTTTTACAGCTACTGGTTTCATCAGAAACAGCTCAACTGAATAATAGTTATCATTAAGCAAAACTGCAGAGTTTTGAAATTCAGCTGTGTTAAGTAGTTCATAAAAAGATGGATTGACTTTTAAGATTTATCACTTACGGTGGATTCCAAAACATCTGGGGTTGATTTAAGAAAATAAAGAACATACTAAGTTTTCCCAATTTCCCCCCACCAAATAAAAAAACTCCACAAGAGATGATGAAAATAATGGGTTTAGTCTTTCAGAACATGAAATTGAATAGCATATGTTTATGTACAAATCAAAGTGCATTTTATCCATGGCATATGGTTTCCTAAGAAACGAGATGCAGAATTACTGAAAATTTGGAATATTATTCTCTGCTTCTTGACCCTTCACTTGAGCTATAAATGCTGACTTAAGATCTCTTAACTGTTATTTTTATTTTGGCTTCCAACGAATGTTTTAAAATTGTTAGATGTTAAATTGCTGATTGTTAGATGAAGTGAGAATGGTAAGGCGGCCTTCCAGAAGGTTCAGCCAAAGCAGGGGTATTCAGACCATCGGACCAGGAGTAGGCTGTTTGGCCATCGAGTATGCTATACCATTTTCTTACAGCTTAGCTGATCTGAGACTCAATACCATACGTCTACCTTTTTCTCCACACTACCATAGTCCTGCCAGCCAAGTACTTGTCTACTTCCCTGTAAAATAATCCTACCGATGCTGCATCAACCAACCCCCGAGGAAGTTAAATGGACAATGCCAAAATTTAGAGTAAAGAAATGTCTTCTAAGTAAATAAATGTCTTCTGATTTCATTACAAACATTGTGTGCATTCATGCAATCAGAGGAAAGCTTCTCTTTATCCTCTCTATCAATTCTATCCGCTATCTTAAACATCCTGAGCAGATCAGCCCTCAAACATCTCTGTTAAAAGAATGTTTACCCATTCTGTCCTCATAACTAAGGTCCTTCAATTCAGGTATTATTCTGGTGAATCTATGGTGCACGGCCTCCAAGACGAGTACATCTTCTCTACGTTGTTGTGCCTAAAACTGCACCCAGCACATCAAATTGGTCTGCCCCTGGCACTGTACAATTGTAACAACACTTCCTTTGTTTTATATTCCAGCAATCGTATGATAAAGGCCACATTCCATTGGCCTTTTTGACTGCATTTTGTACCTGTCAACTGACCTTCAGTGAACTGTGAGCCTGAACACCGAGCTCTCTTTGCTCATTCGCCCACTATTACTTCCGCATTCAGAAAAATATTCCACTTTTTTAATGCTAGAGCCAAAGTGTAATATTTCACATTAAACTCCATATCTCAGAGCACTGGCAGAGTCTATTTACATCCCATTGTAATTTATTGATTCCCTCATCATCACCTGTTTTGTACGCTTGAGAAGTGTTATCTGTAAACTTGGATATACAGTCATCTATTCCTTCAACCAGGCCTTTATAGATATATATTATATATATATGTGTGTATTGTGAATAACTGTTGCCCCAGTTAATCGAGGCTGAGTGGCCTGTTTTCTATGATGTAAGCTTATCAAATGCCCTTAGAAGATCCATTGACTCTCCCCTGCACAACAGTGGTGGCCAACCTGTGGTTTGCAGGGTGGTCAAGAAATATTCAATCGAGAATTATTTTTTTTTGGCCACTGCTGCTTTCGGGACTTCCTCTAAAAACACTCTACCAGGTTTGTTAGACAGCAGACCATGTTGATTCTACCTGATCAGTTCATACTTGTCTAATTGCTCAGTTATCCTTGATGATGGATTTCAATATTTTTCCTATCACCAATGTTGCACTTACTAGTCCTGGAGATTTATTAATCTTGAGTGCCAATTGGTTGGCTGTTATTTCAATCATATTAAGATTTTTCCATTCATTTATTTTATATTGTGAGTTAGTTACCTGCACACCCAGAACCACATCTTCATTCTGTGAAGATTGGACCCAAAGTATTAATTTAATCTAAGCACTCGGAGATGCTCCTGAGTGAGGGAACTACATAAATGCAACTTGTGAACAGATCTGCCATTTCCACCACTAAATTTGCCTGGAACATGTTGCTAGGGGACCAACTTCCACTTT